TGCAATTCAGAAAGGTCATCGAGTTGTTTCCATGATAATTCTACTTTAAAAACAATTTCGAAAATAGAAAGTTTACTCATTCGAAATTAAAGACAAATCTAACTTAGTTTTTTTGGTAATGCTTACTTTCATCGAAGTTTTTCAATTTTAAGAAAGTTCTTATCCTTGGGCTTCAAAAAGTATTGCCCATACTCCCACATATATCACAGTTCATTTTCTAAGGCAAAACCAAAATATAAGCATCGTGATCGCAAGTATTTTTAAGTGATATATATAACAGCAAATTGACCACTTTCAGATGTTTTGTTTTACGAATGCTCTGAGATTCGCTTTTAATACTTCTTCATTAATGTTAAGCACCTTATATATTTACATGAATTGCGAAATGTTAAGATACTAGATTAAAATACAAAGTTCAAGTGACTCTAATTTCATCACGTTAACTTAGACTTCAATAGTAATGGACATTGATCTGTAGTTGATACGATTTATGCGTTCCTTAGAAAAAGGGTCTTGGCAGAAAAACAAATAGATGAGAAGACGGATAACTTATTGAAACTATAAGGATTCCTTTTTACCTTTTTAGGTACGGAATCCTAAAAAGTACTGTTTAATGGCGATGTACTGCAAACACTAGTTTTCTATAATTCACTTTAGATTTACTAAAAAGGTTGGTTCAGTAAAAAAAATGTGAAACGTATCTCGTACGTCATAAGTTGGCGCCTTGTTAATAAGTCCAATCACGTTCAATTGGGACCAATCGAGCTTTCATTTGTTTCATCGGACCACCATTATATATCAACAATATTAGTTTACTATTTTTTTAACGTCTTCGTCTAATAATATTGGACTTTGGACAATGTCTGGCTGTACAATTTTAAATGTCTCACATGCCTAAAAATAACTAAAGGTCACATTTTAATTAGTAAGAATGACCATCGTCGACTATCATGGAGACAGGCAAGTCTTTCAGAAATATATTTGACCCATATTGTTTGGGTTACAGGTATATGGAGGTAAAGTGCATAGCCTGCAACGGATTTCTCCAGAGAACGGCTCCTCCTCAATAAAACGGAAAGAAATTACATTTTTGTGCTTCAAGACCATTAGATACCAAATATACTGCATTAAGAGAATGCTTTTTCCATCGCTAAATAGACCATCTAAATGTGATCAAAGCAGGAGTTGTTTAAGATATCCGATGTAAGAAATATACGGGGTTACTGGGTAAGTCGACCTAGATATTTTAAGGGGTTGTAGTTGCCATCATTTTTAATAGATTTCCCTATGAAATACCATATCTCAAACCTAACTATTTTCAAGATATTGGACTTTTAAGTTTTTTTTATAAAATTGCCGACATTTGGCCCGATACAATATTTTTAGAACTTATATCCTTTATTTTATGCTATTTTACTATTTTGTGTAGTTGATACATTGTTTTATAATTTCCATTACTAAAATCCTAGTTAACAAACTGGGCTGAAGTAGATGGTTAATAATAGCACAAATTTGACGAATATTAAAAAAATCTATGAAAGTTAAACTGCAGATTTGTTCAAAAATGTCAGCTATCTAAAAAGGTATAATAGTCTAGGATAATATCGGAATTCATGGAAAAAAAGACTTCGATGAAAGACCGGGAGTATAGTAGTTGCTAACTGGGCTTTGATTTGTGCTTCTGTTACTGTTTTTTTTTCTGAGACATTTCATGAACGGCATAACCAATTACCTCAGCGTTAATTATTGGGCACCAAAAGCTGTAAAACCACTGGATTCGATCCTTTTTTGTAGTTGCCATCATTTTAATAGATTTCCCTATGAAATACCATATCTCAAACCTAACCATTTTCAAGATATTGGACTTTTAAGTTTTTTTTATAAAATTGCCGACATTTTGCCCGATACAATATTTTTAGAACTTATATCCTTTATTTTATGCTATTTTACTATGTTGTGTAGTTGATACATTGTTTTGTACAAAAGCTGTAAAACCACTGGATTCGATCCCTTTTTCTCCCCGAGAACAGTACGAAAACTTTTTGGGTTCAAAATTTAACTAACGTGCTTGATGATTTACAACCTAATCTCATTCGTGGCATGTGGCTTTATCATGATGTTTGCCCTGCGCATTACAGGAGAAGTGTAAAAGAATGGCTGGATTCTAATTATCGTAATGAGTGGATTAAAAGAGGTGGTCGGGAGGCTCGTGCGGATACGCATTCGCAGTATCCGTAAGAAATCAGAATATCAGATCATTCCTCGTTCATATAGATCGTCATCTTTAACAGTATCAGAAGCGCAAATTACTTTATTTCTTTGATAAGGAAAGAAAGAGTCCAATACAAGCAAAGTTTTTCACTGGTTGCTACCGGGTTGCAACTGCATAAAAACAGTAATAAAATTAGAAATAGAGGATACAAGTCATAAAAAGTTGTTTAAGGCAAAATTTCGGCAATTTTTATAAAGAATCTTAAAAGTCCAATATCTAGAAAATGGTTAGATTTACATACATTACATAGTGAAATGTATCAGAAATGACGGCAGCTATAACCCCTTAAAGTATCTAGTTACTAGAAATTGTCGAACTGACTTACAACCCTTATTTTACCAATCCTTTATTTTACCCCCTTAGGAGAGAAATTTTCAAAATCCTTTCTTGATGGGTGCCTACAACATAGAAATCATAAGCTGCCAAAATTTCAAGTGTATAGCCCCAGCGGTTTAGGTTCTGCTTTGCTTAATCAGTCAGTCAGTCAGGGCAAGTATTTGTATTTGTATCGATTAAATATTTTCTACCACAATAGAAGAACAATGGACGGATTAATGCAGATTATTATTATTTATAGAGACCTTCCGGATTTCTCTTGGGAAAACTTTGATTCTAGGACTTTAGTGTCGCTAGCATAGTGGCACCAATGACATTTAAAGTGGACGGAGGCACCCAATAGTTTGAATTGTTCACACTTTATGTTTCACAAAATTATGTTTAGCGACACAATTGTTCTTTTTCAAATCGAAAGAAGATCACAAAATCATTTAACACGAACCATAGACACAGTTCACTAAAGAGTCCTTATGATAGTAGACAATTGAACACTCATAACGTGGCAGTAGGATAAAGATAGTTACCCGTCCGGAATTGAACTCTTGACATCATAATATCAGGTTTTATCTATATCACAAAACCACACGCCACACTTATGTTCACGACGCGTTACTAAAAAACTTTACATCCGTATATAAATATGTAACGACCGTCCCCAAACCGATTTTTTACTTAGTTTCGCTTAAGTGTTATCTTCAATAAAAGAAAAATTAAAAACTTTTTTCGTAATTCTAACTTTCGTTACTTAATTTCGGCATTCGGGTGTCAATTAGTACTTTAGTAAAACGAGATCCATTTCATCACATGCACGTTATTTTTACAGGTTCAGGCAAGAAGGTTTTTTTCTATTGTGTTTAAAATGTTTGCGTTTGGTATATTTATTTATTTATACATCATGCACTTACTGTAAGTAAAATAAGATATTTTTTAAGATTACTTAATGAATTTTATATGACATCCCTACTAACCTCATACATGCGAAAGTAACTTTGTCTGTCCGTTCACGCTGAATCGATTTTAATTAAATTTGGTATAGAGATACTTTGATTCTTGAGGAAGGACATGTACTACTTTTTACCGCAATATACGCGGGCAGAACCGCGGGCAAAAGATAGTTATTTATAATTTTGCCGGTTAAATAGCAATGTTTGAACTTTAAACAACACTCAAAATAACTTTTTTAAATATATGTGAGTAATCGAACCCCATGTACTTGACCTGTTGCAACGGGGAAAATTATAATCTATACAAATAAATAAAATTTAAGTGTCTGTTTATAATATCAAAATAATTGGATTTTTTCATGCTGTTAATTGCACGATACCTATGCCTAAAAACATATTTTTTGTATTATAGCCTGTTTGCCAGGTCAAAGTGTAAAATTAATTGAATTAAACATTTTTTACTGCCTTTCATATAAGTTTTATATGTACACGATTTCTTTCAAGAAAATTAATGAGAAAATGTATTAGGTGTCCAAAATATTTATAGAAAATTTAAATTTTGTTTTAATATAATTTTCGTATATATTTTGGTAACTTATATATTATTTAAACTTGGTTATTGCTGGTTCTCATTGTTAAGTTCAACTATATGAGTTAAAACTTCAGATACGAACTGCCTAAGCTGTTGAAAGAAATTTTTCATCAATAACGTCCGAACATAAATATTCGAGAGTTTTTAAGCAATAATAAATCAGTCGCTTCAAAAATTGGATCTACTTAGTAAATAAGTAGTCGATGTAGCAACCTCAAAATATCTTTAGAAAACTCGACTAAAGTTATTCTAAAATAACACCTACGTACTACAGAAACAAAAACGTAGACCTTCTTTTATGTTGGTAAAAGAAATATAAACTGTATCCGGTTCTTGAAAATAGCGCCAATATTTTAATCCTAAAACTACATAAGTGTATGTTAATGAAGAAAAGATAATTCTATATCATTATACAAGTTATTAAACATATTGATAACATACAAGTCAACACACCCACTATTTAATTGAATTCTGATATACCCACCTTGCCGTGCCCTCGACAGGGATATTCCCAAACGTTGAAACAGTATTTACAAATACATTATTTAAGGAAACTAAGAAAGCAAGAAAGTTTTCTTTAGTATAAATAATATTAATACCATGTTTATCCTTAATACTATATTTTATTCTTTTTGATAACTTTATTTCGCTGCTTCGTCCGCATGGGTCTCGTATATATATATATATATATATAAAGAGCATCTGGTAATCCAGGTCTCAAACTATTTGATTTTTTATTTCAATCTATTTACCCATTTTACGTGAAAAAATCACCAACATCTATCTATTCTTCTTCAAAAACTTGCGTTTACAACATATGCAATATTTTATCTGACATTAAAACCATAAAACTCACCCCCAGCATCGCAGAACCTCGCCAGACACACGAGCAAACAAACAAAAATCGACCACCTCATCTCACAGTCCGTCACAACACAATTAATTAACCGTAGCAGGTCACACGACCGCCGTCGAGCGCTGAGTTCAACTCACAACTGATATTTCTTTGCGTACAATTCAAATGATATACTCCTGCGCAACATAAAATTTACCGTTCGATTGACACCCCACTCCTGCTACTGTCCGCGATATAAAAGCGAAATACGAGTTTACAAACGGCAGTATTATGTTTGCTATATGTTATCTTTAATTAATAGTGATTATTTTTATTAGCTTCTAAATACAGTACGGTTGGGAGAATTAAAGTGATCCGCAATTGTGTTCCCACTACAATGATACTTGTATTTCCCTGATTAACTCTCAAATTAATTACTTAGAAAATTTATCAACTTCCTTCTGCTACAAAACGTTATACACCAACAAGCCATTTCTGAGGGCAGTTTTATAGTAAACAACAGCAAAAAACATTAAAGTCTAATACTCTGCCATACGCAGGTTACATTACAATAATGATGTTTAGGAAAATAAAGATACCTATGGTTACAAAATGACTGCACACAGAGATAACGACATGCGTTTGTTGGCGAAAACCATCAAATTATTATGATGACAGTACGAAAACGCTAATGATTGTGAAATTATTAAGACTAGAGATAGCCCAGCAGTCGAATTACGACCTTATTTAATTTCGTTGAACGGTATAACTTCAACTGTCATTGCTTAGAATTTTTAACAGGACAGGTGAAAATATATAGAGGACCATTTTGTTTTATGCTTATGGTTTCTGTACTTCTTCCACATATAAATCTTAAATAGGTACTGATGTTCTCTTGTGAGCCATGTTTGTTTAAAAAAGGAAAATTAAACATTTTGAATAAACCCACGACGGTTAATAGAAAGAGGATAAAATAATCGATGTCTATCGAGTTTATTTAATTTGTAATAACTAATATAAAAGAAGTGTTACCTCCTGGCTAATGGACGGCCTTGTCATTACAAATCAAATGAACCCAAACTCAAAGGTTTTTCTAGTAACCGTTAAGGAGTTCCACTATATTCCTTTTGGCTCCATCATCAGACCAAAAAAAGAAAGAAAAACCAATCTAACGAGCACAAACACGATGGGTTTACTAGATGGTAGCACGCAGAGAAGTTTCTTAGTATTTCGAGCTTTCACGCTGCGAATGTAACAGTCGACTTTGTACCGATTGGTTTTATAACTGCTCATAGAAAAAGCCATTGGATTTGATCCGGTAATCAACCGGTGTAATGATAGAATTTGGTGTAAACACCATAAACACAACTCATGGGTGAATTCTATAATTTCATCAATACTCTAAAATATCCTATATGTAACCTGAGAACAAGAAGAAAAACGCTTGGAAATTTTCGAAGCGTTTTTCTTCTTGTATTTTTTTAAAGAAAATATTATGAATCCATGGATCCATCCATGGTACTATGATCAAGAGAATCCGCATAAAACGAATTCTGTTATGGTCGAGTGGTAACTAATGCCGAGTTTATTAAAAGTCCCTGAATTCCTGAATTCTGTTATTACAAAAAGTATTTTCTACGTCACAAGTGCGACGTAAATATCTTTAAACATTATGCAAAGCCTTTTAGTTTTAAATTCATTCAAATAAAAGGCAATGGTATCGACAAAATGCCTGAGTTAACAAAACCAACCAAGATGCCGCCAAGTCAAAGGCTTTGCGATAACTTTACTGCGCTTTTTACGACTATAAACTCTTATTCTCTTTGGAATGTTGCGTTTAAATTTAGAATTCACATTTTCCATCCTTAAGGGTGATCTCACACGAACTGATCGGTATTAAAGCTTTTTTGACAAACTCTGTATAATTAGAAGATAATAATTTTTATATCTAAAATAAACACAATAATTAATTAGAACTAGCTGTAATTTTAATAATAAAACATGACTATATTTTTTTTACACTATCCGTGTGGTGACGGATTAAGAATACGTCATGTCACCACCCCTATTCATCCCGTGGGTGTTGCAAAAGTCGACTAAGGGAGAAAACCACGCAAGACAACAGCACTGCAAAGAGAAGGAAAACTTGAAACAAACCCTATACCAACCCCCTGGCCAGCGTGGTATAGTAGGCCAAAATATCCTTTCAGAGGAGAGGCCTATGTCCAGCAGTGTCCTATCATAGGCTGTTGATGTGATATTTTTTTAAATAATATGTAAATAGGTCCATTAGGCCCATTAGGCCCATTAGCCCATAGTCATTTGACCTAAATTCTTATTTACTTGTAATTATTCACCTAACCTAGGCAGAGTTTAGATATCCAAAAATCAGATTCATCTCTCTCATTTACTAAAGTGAATTTGCAATTTATTTTTTCTGAGCTTTCGAACGAACCTCATAAATCGGTAACACAATAGAGTACCAACTTTCATGGTACATTTTTATCCCGTCGAAATCAATTTCTTTCTTTTTATCCTCCTTCTTTTGTATCCTCTGATGTATCCTTATATTATGCAGAGCACTAATCGCAAGCAACGTTTTCCTCAAAGAAAAAAAGGAGTTGCCGCTCTGTTGCCGAGGATAAAAATTTTCAAGCTACACACAAAAACACATATTAATATATTGCATAGTATGTACAATTAGTGTTTAATATAAAATATTAATCAATTATTCTTATTGTGTACGCTATCCTTTAATCTCGTTTTTTAATGATACCCATGGCCAGACTGTTGCTAACTCCGGTTTTGTTTTTTAATTTTTTACGGCGTCTTTGATGCTAGGCTCTTGGAGCCTGTGAGTTTAAAAATCCTTTACAGAAATACTGTAAGATAAAGAATGTGCGTCAAACACAGTAATGAATCTCATTCCTAATCTTTATAATGTAAATTTATTTATATTACAAAGCGGTTTTTATAGTTTGTAAAAATTGTGTCGACCTACGCTTTATATGAAATATTCAAATCAAAAATAGATGTTGATCGATGTGCGGGGGTGCAGGATATTGAGTATAGTAAATCATTATTCTGTAGTAGACTCGTGGGTGAGTGACGTGAGAAATAAATTTTTGTGTACGATAACCCATACATTTATAGCATAAACTGTAGCCTTTTAATTAACGAATGATGAACATTAAACTTAGTTTTTAAATTAATATTTTTATAATGTTCCAATATTCCCGATTTGCGCTTGGCGTCGAGGTTTGAGATCGATACCAAGGAATTTTACGGTAAACCTTCCCTTGACAATTCGATGAAAGAATTCATTTTAAGTCACTCTTACTTATGCGCTAAATTATTAATAGGTATATATTGCGAGTGCCGCGAAGTTGCACAGTACCTCGTCGTTTGTTTACGCGTCGCCGCCTGCCTTTACACGGCCTTTACACTAAAAACACATATTTAAAAATCACACGTGAGATAGGGGGATGAGGGAGCGGGTTCATTCAAATCTGGGAGGAGAAGGGGGTCACAAAATCGCCGAAAACTCCTCACGTAAGTAATGGACGCCCCCAAACTGCAATAGTTATCGGCGATATATTAGACATGTGCTAATTAATATTGATCAATACTTATTAGTCACCACGCCCAGCGGCTTTTATGTCAGCTGTGTATAACTGGGATGGTTTAATTGTAGGGCCAAAGGTTTAAAGATACATACGCAATATAATATATTTGTATGTTACCAACTGGTGTTCGCAATTTCTACTACGCATAAACTGTCGTTGTTACTTTTGTCCTATATTTCATCTCCTGGAACTTTTATTTTCGTGACAAAAAGTCAATGTCCTTCTACAAGATCTAGTCATCTTTATACAGAAATACTTTAAACTTGGTACCTCTACCGGTTAACGTATAAAATGTAACATAAGAACAGACCGACGGACTCAGTTATGTACGCCTTTTGTAACTTTAATAAGTGACAACAATAATTACAGACGGCGTAGATTACCTTTATTTTAATGACTTAGAAAATTCTTTAAATAGGAAAAAGTTAAAATTTTGGAGAAATATTTTCCCTTTTTCCAGCTATGAATGCTAGAATAAAATGTCTTTCCTTTGTAAGCTTTAAGCGTACAAGTTAAGAAATTAAGAATCTTTTTTTTTCTGATAGATAAATCTAAACGCGCTTTTGTTTTTTTTTTTCTTTGTTTTTTTTACAACTCCCGCAGTAGGAATATGTCATGTGTCGCGGGGGACTTTGCAAACACCCAGACTCAGAACAACAATTTGTGGATCACACAAAGTGTCGTCCCATGTGGGGTCCACACCCACAACACTCAGCGCAATAGGAAACGGCGAGGTGACCGCTTAAACCACTACGCCACCTGTGCAGTCTTTTTTCAGGTTTATTCCCAGTAGTTCCATGAAGACAGTTCCTCATGGTACTGATTTAACATTAAAAATACTATTTTTGTCCCATTTCTGCCATGTCATTTTATACTACAGCTAAAATTATTTTTTTTTTCTGAAAACAATTAATTATATATGTATATAGATTAAAATATTCTTATTAAAGAGATGACGAAGAGATACGGGTCTCAGGAATTTTATAATATAGTACTCAAAACAGGTAGGTAGGAAAGTAGTACTCGTAATAAATGTTAGTTATTGTGTTATTAAGTGACAAAGGCTTACCCCATTATGTGATCCTCAATATATGATTGAAAAAAAGAAACACTTAATAAGAAATAATCACGGAAGCGAAACCGCGGCAAATATTATTTGGTATAGTTGATTATGGTATTCGTAATCAACTGTCAGCTCCTCCGGTACTTAGATGATCACCGGCTACTCAATGACCGACAATATGGTTTTCGCCGGGTCACTCAGCTTGTGATCTTCTCGTCTTTCTAACACACCGGTGGGCACAGGCGATCGAGACCAAGGGAGAGGCTTGTGCGGTTAGTTTGGACACAGCGAAGGCCTACGATCTCGAAGCTCCCTTCCTATGGGCTTCCCGAGAAATTGCGTAATTGGGTCACCAGTTTCCTTGCGGACAGAAGCATTAAGGTCGTTGTCGAC